TTGTTGTTTAAAAACCGTTCCGCCAATTCTTCTTCTTCTTTGATGAACAATGGGCCGCAATTTTCAAAAGATCTGTGTCAATGGATAATCAGCACTTCAGAACATTTCTGGAGACATACACTTCTCATCCCATCCCAAGTGATCGATGTTAAGAAAAATTCTCTCTCTACATGTTATGAAGATATGTTAAATAAGATTTGAACATCTGTTACTGACAACAAGATACGGGTTTCCTTGGATGAGACTTCTGACGTAGACGGGCGGTATATCGCAAATGTTATAGTTGGTACCCTGGAGATATATTTCTTCTTGACTGTGAAGTTCTTGAAAGAGCAAATCATTTGACTACAGCTGTCCTATTTGATAATTCCATGAACTTGTTGTGGCAAAATGGAATATAGTGAAATGTCCTTCTCCTAGTAACATGCTGCTCCATACATGAAGAAGGCTGCCAAAGGACTTCAAATTCTCTACCTGAAAATGATCCATATTACTTGCCTTGCTCATGCATTGCATAGAGTGGCTGAAGAAGTTCTAAGATATTTTCCAAAATGTGGATAGGCTAATTTCAAACAGAAACAAAATACTCATCAAGTCCCCTCTTCAAGTACTGAAATTTAAAAAAGAAGCTCCTCTACTGCCACTTCTTCCACAGCCTATCATCACATGGTGGGGTTCATGGTTGGACACTGTGGCATATTATTGTGAAAATTACACAACCATTGGTTAATGACTTTGATAGCTGTGAGTCAAGATCAATTAAAGCTATAAAGAACTTATTATCTACCGCTCTAGCACAAAATCTGACATATATAAAGTCAAACTTCTGTTCAATTTCAAGTGCAATAACTAATCTGGAAATTATAGGGACTGAACTCCATGATGCGTTGGACACTGTAACAAGCATTGAGAATGAACTAAGCTGATCTCGGGGTGAAGTAAACAACAAGATTAAAACCAAAATAGAAAGTGTTCTTCAACGGAATGCTGGTTATTCAACAATATGCATGATTGTACATATACTTTCCGGTAAACCAGCAACATTCGAAGATGATCCAGAAGTGTCACCAAACGACCCCACATTCTTCAATTATGCTCCTGTCACATAATGTGATGTGGAACGAAGTTTGTCCAAATATAAAATGATCCTTAGTGACAATCGGCAATCTTTCAAATTTGAAAATATGAAAATGCATGTAGTTATAAATTGCAACTGTAACAGTGAAAATTGAGAAGTGAATAACTTGTATTACAGAAATATTGAAAATTGAGATCTGAATAAACTTGTGTTCTTCTATATTGCTTTTAGAAAACAGAGTTAAGTTAATGTTTATATCATGTGCACCAGTGTTTGTCTACAATATGAACGCAAAAATCAATATTAAAAAGAAAACAAGAAACGGTTTAATCCAGTACAAAACGTCGCAATTCCATAACTTTTCTTTCCTTCAGAAACATAATAGGGCTAATTTGGTAAGTAGGGCCTACTATCATACAATTCATCATTTTTATTCATAAATTCTAGTAAAAGTTATAATTAAAATTGTGAAATTATATGTCCAATTTAATATTTAAGGTCATATTTTACACTTTTTATGACATATTTGACGTAATTTTGGGTCATAAGTGCACGCATATATTTACGGTTTTTATAGGTCATAAAAATCCGGGCCCTAGTAATAAAGCATGCCTTGCAGCTGTGCGATCCAGTTAGCTGGGTTCATTTTTTGCAGTTGGTTTCTACAGTGGCTCATTGAAGATGGCATTATCTCGAACTGACTTCAGTTTCCCCTGATAATCTTCATTCCACCAATTGCTCCACAATCACCCTCACCTATTATATGTGGCTGGTACAATAGGCCAGAAGTGGCTGCTGTACCAGGTGGACTCAGTCCCAACCCACAAAGTAAAAAAAAATTATGTACAGGTCATTCTCAGGCAATTTTCTCAAGAGTTACAATAGCAGAAAGACTCTATGGCTGGTTTCAGCAAGACTAAGCTACTGCCCACATTGCATGTACATCTATACAGGCTTTGTCTCTTATCTTTGTGGACAGAAATATCACCACTGGTATTTGGCAGGCACATTCACCCAACCTTAATTCTTATATATTTACTTATGTGGTTCTTTGCAGGGCAAAGTTTAAAAGAATAAACCCCATGAGGAAGAATTAAAAAGAATATTCATAAGGAAATTGCAAAAATTCTGGCACAACAGCTTTAAAGGGTTAATCAGAAACCCTTCTGCTGCAGCAAGGAATGTCTATGTGTAGGGAGACAGCATTTTCAACACCTTCTGTGACCTGTGAATTATATACTTCATTCCAAACGTTACTGGCCACAGGCATACTGATACACTGACAAAATTTGTATGCACCTTGCAGCCAGTAGTGCATCAGTCACTGTCAACCGGCCGAGACAAGTAAGAACCTCTGTCCATATGTAGATGTAGAAATTTTCGTTGATGTTCATTAACAGCCTTATTTGTATGTTTAATTACATGCACTGTACATTCCACTTCACCACAATTGTGTCTATATTTTAGGATGTGTTGCAAATGCCAGTTCTTCACTAGTGTTTCTACACCTCTTACACATTTTCTGTATCTAATGTTTAGTCACCTTTCTGTCTAACCGAAAATAACAAAAAAATCTGTCATGACAACCAATCACCTGACAGCAGGTACAGAGGAAACTCCAACAGTGTCATGTATATTAAATTTAGTTCAAACAAAGGGCAAGAGGCAACACGTGTCTATAATCTGTCACACATTATCACAAAGCTATATAGAATCATTAGTTATCCTAAAGCAAATCCTCAACGCAATAACAGCTCTATGTTATTACATTGATACAGACTGTATCGAAGACAGAAAACAAATAAATGATAAACTTCAGCATTTTATAGATAGATCCTGGGAACTCTATGATGTAGTAACAAAGCACTACTTAGTAGAGTGGTACACCACGCACAACATTCAACATACTGCACTTGCCTACAAACATTTCAGGAAAAAAAAAAACCTTCAAAATCTAGTCAACATCGCAGTGGAATTGTTTCATGTTCACAGGGATGGATATCAGAAAGACAAGCAGCATTTCTGCACACTTGTGTTATCTGCCTAACAGTGCACATACAGCTCACCTCAGGTTCAGCCTTCATTTCTATAAATGTTATTGGGACAGGATCCTCTTCCTCTTCCTCTTCTGAGACTGCCTCAGCTTTTACATTCATGGCCTGATCTGCATCATGTGGTGTTTGGTATGTCTCACCATATGGACCCACTAAAGTGTTCTCCGAATTTGTACAGTTCTGTGAAAACCATCACATCCTTCTCAGAAATGGATGCACAACACTGCACATTAACCAGGGTATGCTCTCCTTGCTATGGCTGTTTCTCATCACATCTAACTCATAGGAGCTGTTTTGTACAGATGCTCTTCTCTACAGCTATCATGATCAGTAGAAAGTACTGGGTTTATAGCTCAGTGACCTTCCTGAGGAACCATCGGTCACTGCAGCAGTACAGAAAATATCTGCTCTTTTGGTTCCTAAAAACATCATAATGAAGAGCTCCATAACTTGTAACCTTCGTTCACCAAGCATAATTACATGATGATGAGATGGGCAGCTCATATAGCAGGCATGGGGGACAAGAGCAATGCATATAGGATTTGTTGAGAAAGCCAGAAGGAAACAGACCACTAAGAAGGCCTTGGCATAGGCCGGAAGGTAATTTTAAGTGGATCTTCAAGAGACATAGGATGGGGTGGTGTGGACTGGATTCATATGGCTCAAGATAGGGACTTGAGATGGGTTTTTGTGAACATGTCAATAAACTTCCAGGTTCTGTACAATGTCGGGAAATTCTTCAGTGGCCAAGCAACTGGTGGCTTCTCAAGGACTCACTCAGCTCCATGAAGTTATTTATTGTACCTAAAAGCTAAAGTCAAGGAGGATGAGATGGGCAGCTCATATAGCAAGCATAGGGGAGAAGAGCAATGCAGAGAGGATTTGCTGAGAAAGCCAGAAAAGGCTCATTACTGTGCCCAGCACGGCTCCATACTCTGTGACAAACAGACTCAGTACAAACCCTTCCAAATTATTTCTTTAAAATCTAGCTTAACAGCAACTTTCCATTCACACTCAGATCTCCCAAGTGGTCTGCTTCTCTTTGTATGCATTTTTCACTGTTGCATGTGCACTACATGACTTCCCCACATTACTCTCTTTGAACTCATTGCTCTCCTACATAATATCCCAACCCATTATTACCCAAGTGTAAGGAACATGGATTATGCAAACAAACAGAAGCGGGTCACAAAATATTTAGTTTCTTTGGACAAGACAACTGAAATACAGCAATAAAACTCTTGTCTGTTCACACAAGCATGAAACACTCACAATCCTTTCGCTTACAGCAGGAAACTTTTCTTCAGCTCTCTGCATTACAATTCTTGCCACTCTTACTGCAAGAGAATGCAAAAAATCTTTTTAACCTTGAAATCTGTTTATCATATGATAAATATCTTGTGGGGTTCACTGTAATTAGCTCACAACAGTCCTAGTAACTTAAATTCTTGGTTCTAACAGGTGTACCAGTATCGTTTTTTGCTAGAGGGGTGGGACTAAGTCCCTTCTACTGCGGCCACTTCTGGCCTATTGTACCAGCCCCAGATGATAGGTGAGAGTGATTGTGGAGCAATTGGTGGAATGAGGATTGGCAGGGGAAAACGAAGTATTCAGAGAAAACCTGCCCCAGCACCACTTTGTCCACCACGAATCCCACCTGACCAGACTCGGGATCGAACCTGGGCCACTGCAGTGGGAAGCCAGCGAATAACCGCTTGAGCTATGGTGCAGCCCCAAGTGTACCAGTAAATAACTGCGAACAGTTCTGCGACTCCCTATGGATTTTTGCTGCTATAGAATTTCTCTCAAACACTGTTCCATTTATGCATAATTTAATTTCATCTGCATTAGAACTGCTTAAAGGAAATGGAAGTTGTACATCACAAGCAGCATACAGTCAACAAACTACAACTGTCTAGAGACACTTCAGAAAAAGGCCTTCAAAGGCGAGTCAGCAGCATAGTGGAGTTGTCCCATGTGCACAGACAGTCAGACAGATGGAGATGAGACAGACAACTGGTATTCCTGCCTATCTGTGATATCTGCCTAACAGTGGACATACAGAAACATACAGCTCACCTCAGGTTCAGCCTTTATCTCCTGAACTCTTATTTGCAGAGGATCCGCTTCCTCTTCTGCATCTGAGACTTCCTCAGCTTTTGCATTCATGGCCTGGTTTGCATCATGACTTACTGGGTATATCTCACCATAAGGACCTACTAGAACCTTCTTTGAATTTGTACAGTTCTGTAAAGGCATCACATCTTTTATCAGTCATGGCTGCACAACACTACACATGAAACAATATATGCTCTCCTTGCTGTAGCTGTTTCTCATTACATCTAACCCATAACAGCTGCTCTCTACAGACTTCATAATCTCAGCAAGTGTTAAGTTCATAATGCAGGGTCCTTCCTGAAAAACCTGTGGTCCCTGTGGAAGTACAGACAATACGTATCTGCTCTTTATGAAACCTAAGCACTCATTATTGTGTTCACACATGCCCATCATAACTTTGCATCCTGACACAAACCCAGTCCAAAACCCCACAATTGTACCTTTAAAATCCATCTTCACAATTGTCTCATTCTCTCAGGCCTTCCGTCAAAATCTTTGTAAGCATTTCTCATTCTCACATGTGCTACTTGACCTACCCATATCACTCGCTTTGAATCCCTCTCTTACATAATATACCAAACTGTTATAATGTGAAGAACCAAGTAAACTCTCCAGATTGATTATGAAAACTAACAAAAGCTTGGCATAAATAGTTTACTTTCTTAAGATATGAGAACTGACTCATGACAATAAAATTCTTGTCTGCGCACACAAGCACAAAACACTCACCATCCTTTCTGTCTCAGCAGGAAATGTTTCTTCAGCTCTCTGTAGCAGAATGCTCAGCATTCCTGCTGCAAGAGAATGCAGAATCTTTCATGACCTTGAAACTTTATTGTATCACACATGATGCTTTTGTGGGTGGCAAATGAATTGACTTACAAGAATCATTGTGATATAGAAGTTGTACATCTATACAACTACAGTGATACAACTATAGTCATATAGAAGGTATAGAGTGACGTGGATTTCTTTGTTCTCGCAGCAGAGGCCGGCAGAGATTATGAAGCTTAGTGCCTTATTAAACGTTGTGTAGTCTTAACAGATTGTTGCTTAGTTTTCATTCATTCATTTCCTTTATTTTCCACATATCCATACAGGCAAAAACCTAGGATGTGGAAATAGTCCCTTTGATAATAGATGTATACGTATAATAAATTCCGTAAGTCACACAACCAAAATCACACACACTAGTCAACCAACACAGATAATAGAACAAAAAAAAAACTTAGTACAATTATAATAAACATAATTTAAAAAGAACATTACTATAAAAACTTAAAATTAATACAATTTCACTCAAATTAACCAAATTAACTGAATTAAATGCATTAAAAATGTACACACTTATGACCAACTAGCTTTCCTTCTTTCTTTCTTTCTTTATTTCATTTTGCCATAAATCAAAATACACTGATACAGGACTCGTCATATACATACATACACAACCTCCACTTTCCATGAACATCCATACAGGCACCAGACCCAGGATGTGGAAATAGTCACCAAACACATACACAAAGTCACACAAGCCACACAGCGAAGATCACCTACATTAACTATCTAACACATAACAACAATACGAGGCAAAAAGATAATATCCTGATTAACAGACATAATTCACAAGTAACCACAATACAACCCCTCACATCTCCCATACCAACTATATTAAAATATGGTGTTAAAACATTCAAATTTATCTATATTTGTAATTAAAATACTCATTTAATGCATAGAAAGAGTTAGCATGTAAAAATCTACATTAACTATCTAACACATAACAACAATATGAGGCAAAAAAAATAATATTCTGATTAACAGACATAATTCACAAGTAACCACAATACAACCCCTCACATCTCCCATACCAACTATATTAAAATATGGTGTTAAAACATTCAAATTTATCTATATTTGTAATTAAAATACTCATTTAATGCATAGAAAGAGTTAGCATGTAAAAATCTTTTTAGGGGATGTTCAGAGGGTTTCTGGTTATTAGATTATTGTTTGAGCTCTTTAGGCAGATGATTGTAGAGTTTTATACCTGAATAACATGCACCCTTTTTGAACTTTAATAAGAGAAGTACTCGGTGGAAACAGATTAACATTCTGTCTGGTAACAATATTATGTACCTCCATATTTCTTGTAAACAAATGTATGTTATTTATAGTGTGTTGCATCAAGGAATATATGTATTGAGAACAAAAAGGCAGAATTTTCATTTCCTTGAAAGAGTCTCTACATGAATCTCAGATTAGCATTTCTTGAAATTTAGTTATATTATAATTACTATAATTTCTCATGTACTGAGGATTACCTACTTGTTCAGATGACATTATATTGTCCATTATTATCATCTGAGCATCATGATCAGGTAGTAGGTTAATTATTGGTTTAATTGTATAATTTCTAGTCTTTTTTATATATATATATATAGTCAATACCTATTCTTCATACCTTAACAATTCCTATTGGAAAATTAACCCTACCTATTAGATTGTATGTATTTAAGAGTGCATCAAATTGTTGCCTTCTATGACAATTTTCTAAATAATTTATATTTACATCACCACAACATATAACATATTCAACTTTATTATTATGTAGCTTATTCAAGATGGTATCCAGTTTTTGCAAAAAATTGTTGAAATTTCCAATAGTTACTTAGCCAGGCAGAGAGTTCACCAACTTTAGGTCAGGGTCAGCCCCGTGAAACTCCCATGTTATTGGTTGGCAACATGGCCGCCATGACACCTCGGTGAAACGCTGCTGCCATCTATGTTCAGCTAACATGACTAAATTAAAAATGACCCCCAGGGCCGAGAGCACAATCGGTAAGAAAGTATGCTACCTTAGCAACTATTTTTTGTGCTCCCCCGCCCCCATCAAAATGCTTTTTTCGTGACTAGCAATAAATACATTTAGATCTCTTGTACTGCAGTCTCTCTTTCCTTTGGCGTTCCCACTAATAACCTATACGCATTCCTCGCCTCCCCATTCGTGCTACATGCCCTGTCAACCTCATCCTGCTCGACTAGTGATATTGAACAGTTCAAAGTATTCATTTCCCCACCAACCTATTTCCATTTTTGAACTGTGTTCAATATCACTAATCGAGGAGAATGAGGTTGGCGGGGCATGTAGCACGAATGAGGAGGCGAGGACTGCATATAAGATATTAATGGGAACGCCAGAAGGAAAGAGACTACTGGGAAGACGAAGGTATAGGTGGGTGGACAATATTAAAATGTATCCTAGTGAGATAGGATGGTATAGATTGCATTAGATTGATCTGGTTCAGGATAGGGACCAGTGGAGGGCTCTTGTGAACATAGTAACGAACCTTCGGGTTCTACAAAAAGACTGGAAAATTCTTGAGTGGCTGAACAATTTACAGGTTCTCAAGAAGGGCTCAGCTCCATAAGTAATGTGACATGTTGCGCAATGGAGAACAACCCCTCTCCCCAGCAGTGACGTGGCGGGTGAGTCAGCGCTCCGTCACCCCCTCCACACGGTGACATAACACGCAACGCAGCTGTGACACGGGTAACAGCCAACAGCGGTACCGACTGCGTAACAGGCGGGCGCTGCGACTATGTGAATCACACTGCCTACGAAGAGAGTTGAAATGTGGCCGTCGCTGAATTCAGTTGTTGTTGGCAGTAAAGTGTATCAGCCGCCGAAGTAAGTTCTCCAGTCAGCAGTGAACAGTTGAGTCGGAGTATAGCAGCCGTCGCGGTAAGAAGAACCGGACGTGTGTGTAACTGAGTAATAATTGGGAGTGTGTGATAATCAGTGACAGTTTGTGATAACTGAGAAATAATTGGGAGTGTTTAACACAGTGACACTTGTATAGCTCATGTACTGTGAAAACGTGTAGACTACTGACAATAGAGTGAATTGATTTGCAAATAGGGTTATAAATTGTTAAACCCCGCTACAGTGTGAATAGATTATTGCGAATAGGGTTATAAAATGTGAAACCCCGCAACTGTGTTATAATTAATTGTAGCCGAGACCCGTAGGTTGTTTAATAAATCAATTAACAATCTCTACGGCGTCTTCAGTAACAAAACACGTTACACTGGTGTCAGAAGTGGGATGGGACTTACACATGTGACCAACAAGATTCGAACTCAAGAAACATGACAGTATGTTTAATGTCACTTCACCCATAGCCTTTGGGTTGGATCTGAGTAAAGTTCTATTAAACTCTGTCCCCCACACTTTCCAAAAAAAAGTAACAGCGGAATAAGAGCCTCTGCAGCTCTGGAGTACAAGAGATTAGGTTTAAATTAATTATCTGAAGAAAGTTTGTCACCAGGCCTGGAAAGTCATAAGCTTTCTTTCACATGAAACACCTCTTTAACCAAAAGTACTAAACATCGTGAACTGTAACATACATGGAATACTTGTAATTAGGAAAGCTGAAGGTGGGGAAACTTGAAAGAAAATACTATTTCAATCAGTGATACATATATTAAGCGTCAAAATTTCCTCAGAACTTACACTTGAAAGCCATACAGAACACAGTTTTTCAGTTACATTTAAGTATTATAAATCATATATTGTAAGAAACAATACTCATGTTCCCATTTATTTTTTTCATTAGAATGTATACAGAGGCATTTCAAAATTATTTTTTCGAATAGTTTTCCTGTCGTGGACAGGAGACTGATCGGACGTAAATTTTGAGGAAATTTCGGGTCTTTACCCGGTTTAGGTAAAGTTATTATTTTTGCTTCCTTCCAAGTATTTGGAAAGTGAGAGAGCCGAAAACAGTGATTGAATAAGTGAGTTAGGTGAACCAATCGTCGCCTTGGAAGGTGCCTGAGGCATTCATGTGGGATGCCGTCAATTCCACAGGCCTTTTTTATTTTCAGGGTTTTTTGTTAATTTCTGAACGTCACATGGTCTGATCATTAGAGGGGGGTTTTCATCCATGGCTTCCAGCAGAGCTTGAACTCTAGCCTCCAACCGCTCTTCATGGTTTTCGTCGCACAGGTCATGTGGCGTGAACTGAATTTCCAAACAGTCGGCAATTTCGTTGGCTTTTTCAGAAGGATAAAATTTTAGGCCAGAACAACCATGAATAGCAGTTGGTGCCCTTGGTTCGTCTCTCTTAAGGAGAGATTTCGCAATGGGCCATATACACTGAGGTGTGACTTCAGCGTTGCTTATTTTTGTTTCCCACCAATCAAGTGCTTTTTACGGGTCATTCGCCTTATTGATTTGGTGACCCAATTGACTGCCGTTTTACATGCTGGATCCCTGGTTTCTTGCCACAGTTTTCGTAGCCTCTGCTTGTATTTTATCAAATGATCTAGACCAGGAAGATCGTTGTTTATGTCCGAAAGCGTAACTTTACTTGTTGACAGCCTATATGACG